GATCGTATACTTGCCATGTGTACTGCTCGTTCCAACGCGGGTCAAACGTATCGGTTATGGTCCGAGTCCGAACCCATTTTTTCCCGTATTTGGCAACACAGTAAGCATCTGTGGATCCTTTTCCCGGACCCTTGGATTTCAATGGTAACAACCCACGAGCACCGAGAATTCCCAGCTCCAAAATACCAACAGCAGGTTTCCATAGCTGTTTAGCAGTGGGCCTGAAATCACTACACACGTGCGCTGCTTCATCAAGCACGTGATATCCTCCTTCTAAGCACATCCTCAAGTTTACCCTTCCGCAGTAGGACCCACCTGGCCCACCTTCCAATCCAAACCACTTGGCTGCCACGAGTCGCTCATCGAGCCGCTGCTCAATCGAGCTCACAGGAATTATTATGTGCCCGAGGAGCACTGGATCCTTCGTTGTACGGTCTTCCACGAGCAAGATGAGGCTATCTTCTAGTGGCTCGCCGGCGACGAAGATTAAGTCTTCGTTCCAGTGGAACGCCGAACTATGATGATTCATGGACCCTCGCCGAGTTCGCACCGACTGAAACCCTACCTGAGCTTTGACTCTTATCTCCGGCGCCGTCAACGGCGGTAAATTTGGGGCAATATGAAGGTCCTGAGCTTCAATCACATTGACTCTTAGGTACCAGAGCTTGGGAGATTGATAGACTTTTGAGCGAGTGTGTGCCACGTAGGGTGCGTCTGAGCTCCACGATTCAGGAAACGCGTCGTCTGCTTGAGTTCCGATCCAAACAGACAATTGAATATCGCCGGAAACTTTGTGCTGGTCATCGCCGCCACCTTCGAGATGATACCACTGCGGAGCAAGAGGACTGTCAGGCGGATCTCGTACTGGCACATCGGTGAGGTCGAAACAAACTCCACCGAGGAAATTATCAGACGCGCTATCCCAAACTGAAATTTCAAGTGTTGAATTAGCCGTCTCTTGTTTGTTGTAGCCTAGGGCGAAGACCTGTTGCCACTCTGGATACGACAATGGTTCGCCGGGCCGGATAATTCCCGGTTTAGACCGGACAAAATGGCTTGACGTACGGATCTTCACGAATGGGCTTTCACTCGGCGCAAGTCCTCTAGCTTTCACTATTCTAACGAATAGGTATTGCATTGGCTCAACGAGATCGAACGCGGAGATTTTTTCCGAATCACCGCCGACTTTCCCGGAGATTACCCTAGGCGAGTAATCTCCGTTTGGCCGTCTCAAAACTCTCATTCTTTCTCCAGCTCTTGCCGCCTGCATCCGCTTCACTTCTGGTGGTGGGTACTGATCAGGTGGTGGAACACTCATCATCATTGGTGGACCATCCTCATGATGCCTGTGACTGTGACTACTCTGTTGTTGTTGCTGTTCCGGCTGCATATTTATTGGCGGAGGAGATTCCTCGATCGTGACTATAGGCGGAGATTGATCCTGTGCTTCCATGGCAAACTCCGTCGGCATAGGGACTTCAATCATCCTCTGACGGGGATCTTCCATGACAACATAAACAGGAGTTTTCCTCACTTCTTCCTGCGGTGGCGGCTGCTGCTGCTGTTGTTGCTGTTGTTCTGGTTGCGGCGGTGGCGGCTGCTCCTCAGCTTCTTGCACCATTTCATCATAGTAATAAATCTTCAAACCCAGCTCACCTCTAATCCAACTAAAAACACTCTTTTTCTCCAAAGGGAAGTATATCAATCCCTCTTCACCCCTCCTCGCAAACTGGCTCCCATAAAGCTTTACTCTCCCTAAAAAATGATTTTTCCTTGCATTCCCATTACTAAGCTTCTTGTCGTTGAATACCTCAATGTCCAGCTCCTCAAACTCCATCGTTCTAGGATCGGATATGATGAATTCCAGAGCCTCGTGCCATTCTGGGTTAAGATTTCTACACACAGTTGAAGTCCGCTTCTTCTGCCCGTCAAAATCCACGACAACATATGGACTAGAGCTGCCTTGTCCATCCTTTGGTAATAAATTACGTGCGTCAAGAATTTCTACTACAAGTTTACGGACTAGTTGCGGTGGTTTTGGTGGCGGTTCTTGCTGTGGGGGTTGTTGCTCCGGCGGCCCTGATGACATGGTTATGGGTTCATAGTGTGGAGGTGGCCGCGAGAGTGAAAGAGTTGGAAGAGATTATTGTTATGTTTGTTTTTTTGTGCTGCTTTGTTTGTTCTTTGCCCTTTGCTTTTTTTGTTTTAACGCTGTGTTTTTCAATTTTTGATTTTTTCCTATTTGTGGGAGAGTAAAATGGTAATTTTGAGGAATGTTTATGGAGGTGTGTGTAATTGGATGGTGATGCGATCTCGATAGGTGAGAGAGATAGAGAGAAGGATTATATTCCAATCTCTCTCTTGAAGTTTCCTTTCTTTTCTTTTCAGTTTTTTTTCTTCTGCTTTTCGGTTTCCCTCCTTTCTGGTTCTTAATTAATTAATCCTATGTTTATTCTGTTTCCCTCCTTTCTATTCTAAATTTCTTTTATTTTTTTGGTCGACATTCAATGATTAACATATTTTAGATATCAAACAAATACAGTATGGAGTATTAATTTATTCGAATGAACTATTGGAAAAGTTATTCGACTAAACTAATTTAGTTTAAATTTGAGTTTAGCTTTATGCTCTGTGGAGAGCTAAGTTGAGGCAGACATGGAGTTTGTCTCAAGTTATCCTCCTTTATTATTTTCTTATCATATAATTATTTGGGAGTATGAAAAATATACTTGAACCTAATTACTCGAACTTTTAAAATGTAATACTATGGTTTGAATTATGACTTCTTGAGTACTAACAAGTCCTTTAGATTTCGGTACATTTTCCTATCCATTTATAATTGAAATGTTAACTATTTTAGGAAAACCTTTAGATCAGCTTAAGCCCTTCTTAAGATTGATATAATAGCGCTAGAGCTCCTTAATAGAATCTACAATACAACTTGTGGATAAAGTGATCGTTTTCTACTTAAATTATTTGTTTACTTTAATTGGCACTTTAATTTTTACGTCATGTATAAGCCAGCATCCTTAGCGTAACTATCTATGTGACGTTGAAACAGATCTCTAAGAACATTGATGGATCATGACATGTATGTGATTAAAAGAAAAAGTAGTACTTAGTGATGGTACAATCAGATGAGCGTCATTTGAAATATTTTTATATACAAGTCATCTGACATTAGGGGAAAAAGGATACGAGTGAGGTCGTTCCATATCTCTGCAATATCTTCTTGTTACTGTCAGTAGTGTTTGTTGTAGTTCTTTTGTCAATATACACAAAGGTTACATAAAAGAGTTGGGTTTAGACGCGATTAGCTCATTTTGGTCACTAAATAGTAGTAGTTATTATTCTCATCATATATTTCACTTTTCAAGTTCACTTTAGAGCATATATTCTTTTATAGTGGTAGCTTAGGTACGTTCTAAAATGGTCCTATAGCCCTCTTTTTTATTTTTTATTTTTATAGCCCTATTCGTTTCTCCAAATGTTAGTGTGGAAAGCTTGACTATGACTAAACCGATGAGTGATGCAATAGGAAGAAAATGCTAGCTTTGGAGCATGATTCCACTGCCCAACAATAGCCCCTTCCTTTTTGTCAAAAGCACCTCGAACCAATTTGAAACAAATTAGGTAAGTAAAAAGAATCCTTTTTTCTCTCATCTGGGGCCCCTTTTTCTTCACCGCATATTGTCAATACTGTAGCTGTCAAATAGATTGTGTCCATTCTCAATTATGCCACTCAGATTACATGCCCATATTGTCAAATTCTTGTAAAAATTTACGTTTGAAACTACTCTGTTAAGTTCTACGGGCACATAGCACTGAGCCCTTTTAACAGGCACAATATACGGTACATTGCTACATGTTGTCCATCTGCCTACTTTATTGCTGGGAAAAGTTCATTTTGAATTGCACTAATTATGGCCTGAAGCTTCGAATTACAGTCCACTTTTATGACTAATATTTCCACTTTACACTTAGTATTAACAATTATACCTATAATAAATGGGTTTAGCTCGATAAAAGTCGAGAAAATTGCCATGTTTGCACTATGTTGGAAGTAACCAACAAAACCTACAAAACTAGTGCTCTTAGATTTTGTCTCCTGAAATATAAAATATATAAGAACATGCTTATGGGGATTACAAGTATAATATTATGTTCACCTATATCTAAAATGGGATTCTGTCTCCTTAATGCTTTGTGAAGTCCATTAGAGGCTGATCAAGGATTTCAAGATGATGGGTGCATTATTATGCATAGACGGATCTAGAATTTATATTTGACGGGTTTAGCTTTAGTCTCTTACCATGAACCCACTACACTTTTGAAATGATAGGTTCAAAATTATATTCTTTTTGAAAATTTAGTGAATTTCACACACACACACACATTCCTTGCCGAAAACAAGACTCGGATTTGAACAGTCGATTTCACTTGTAGAGGTGCGCCAAATTATTATTGCACGATAGAAGTCTTTAAGCATGGGTGCACGCACATATATTTAAGAAAATTTAAAGAAATATAACATTGTTATACATGATTTAAGGAGAGGAGCATGAGTTCACGTGAACCCACCCCTTAACCTAGATACGCCCCAAGTCCAACATCGGTGTGGCTGTGTGGCATGGTGCAATTAGATTGTTTATAGTCTTGAACAATATTCCAACCCATGAGCTAGCTTTTTAGTATTGAGTTAGGACCAATGTTCATTTTTTATCATCAACTCACTTCTGGCACACAAAACGAAAAAGCTTCCTCTTAAGGAATAAGGATAAAGTGTCATATCATACACAGAGTTTTGCCTTTTGTGTATTGGTGGATAGATTACATGAGGAATCAGGTCCCTTTAAGATAAAATGAACTTTGAACTGATGCTTATTCTGGTGTGTGGATCTTTCTCTTGTTACAATCAGAATCAAATGAGTCCCTAGCTCCTCAATTGACTTGGATGCTTCTTACTTTCGTAAAGTGCACTACATTAACTGATTGTAGTATTTGATTGGTATTGTCAAACTGTAATTGTTTGAAAGCATTTTGCAAATCTAACGTAACTGGTACTATCTGCATAAATATTAAAACATAAACAGATCATATATCAACACAATTATCTGATGTATTTTGTCACTAGGGTCTCGAATGCAGCTTACTTTGTGGGTTCGCTTTGATGTTTATTGCACGTTGAATATGTTGAGTACAGAATTCTTTATCACATATAACATTATTTTGGTAGAGATATTAGTCAATCAATTTTGCTTGACTGACATTTATGAGAAACTAAAACACCTAAAGAAAATGCAATCAAAGCTGTTATAATAATCATCTTGTTCTTTCTCATTGTTTCTTTTGCTGCTGCTACCAATAGATTATTTCCGTGCCACTTCTTTGCCATTTTTGCATCATGAAATTCTTCTTCCTCGCTTGCTTCGCTCTTTTCTTCTTTTGCATTTTGACTTTGTTCTTTATCATCACTAATTGGACCTTCTTCCTCCTCTGGTTTTTTCTGTTGATTCTCTTCATGAGAATTGCTATCAGTTGCTACGTCATCGCCTTCTTTGTTTTCTGGTAATTCCTTTGGGATGATAACATACAGAATTCCATCTTCAAGCCTTGCGCTTGTATCCTCACATTTTGATTTTTCAGGTGCTTTAGTTGATATTTTAAAGCGGATATATTTATATTCGCTTACTTTCCTTTCTCCACTTACCGTTATATTGCCAAATATATCAACTTGAAGCTTCACCTCCTCCCTTTTGAATCCTTCTAACAAATTATAAGAGCAAGAAAAATATTTTTAACAATATCATTATGATAAATAACCAATATCATTTGTCAATTAAAATCCAAAAAATAACTTGGAAAAAAAGAAAGAAGAGATTTTAAAATGCAAAAATTTGGAGACAATGAATTATGAATACCAGGAAGATCAATAAGAAGATAATGGTTGTTGGTATCCTCTATCCATCCAGAGGAAGGTTCAAGATCTTCATATATTGAATTGGTTGAACTTGTCCAATTAACCCCTCCTCTGTAATCCCCAAGATGTGACATTGATTAGACTTGGTTGATGAACTTAAAGTAATAATTTTACCCTTTTCCAGATAAATGAAACCGTTAATTGGGGAGTTCTGTTGCAATAAGCTTCATATATATAAACAAGAAAATCCACGAGAACAATAGCCTGAATATAATGCACTATATTGTTTACTTATTATGATCATAATTAGTTAGCTTTTCTTGCAAGATCCTGCAATTTTTATTCTGTTCTTTCACCCTGGGACTCTGTTACGGCAAAGCCCTTATTTCCTTGTTGAGAAAGGAAATCCTTTTATTCGATGCTTTACTTCAATCCAAATGGTCAAAAAAGAGAGAGAACTAAAGTTATCATTTGTTGCCATTCTTCAAGTAATCTATAGACATTAATTTGCACACGTTGTCCTTCCCTTAATGGCGTGGAGGATAGATTTTTCCACAATCAGATTTATTTCAGTTTCTTCTATTGCAATAAAGTATATTCGTGTATTTTTGGTTGAGCCTCACATATTTTTAAGGTGAATTTGATATGAACAGTGAACATAACTGTTACTATCACAGTAAGGCAATTAATCACATAATTGACATTAAAAATGTAATAAGAATAAAAAACTTGAGTAATACACATTATCTTATTTTCATTCAAAAGCCAAAGTGTTAGGATATTGTAAAACTCATTGTAATCTCGGAATTGTGAAGTGCGAAACTCGAATCCGAGAGAAATAGAGAGAGAACAAAGATGGAATATTTTGTGTAAAATGTAAAAATGAGCATTCGAACCTTCTAGAGTCAGATCCCCTCTATTATATACAAAAAAAATATGGGTCGGATAGTTACAACTCAAAATAAGATGAATATCCTATTCTATTGTAATTGGACCTAACTACACAACTAAGTAAATAAATACAATTTGGCCCTAAGAATATCTGATAACATAACTGCTCGCCCTTTTACTAGCCAACCCCCCCCCCCCCCCCCGCAAGTTGGAGGGGGGAAGCACCTGCAACTTGGAGAGGAAACCATGATGGAATAAACCAGTGAGGGGCTTAGTCAAGATATCTGCCAACTGATTTGCACTGCTGACTGGAAATAAGGCAATAAGACCATGAGAAAGCTTTCCCCGAACAAAATGACAATCAACCTCGATATATTTAGTACGTTCATGGAATACATGATTACGAGCAATATGCAAGGCTGATTGATTATCACAAAACACAGACACATGAGTAACACCTTCAACCAAGTTAACTCTGCAACCAACTTACTCAAAGCACGATATTCAGCTTCAGCGCTTGTGATGATCAAAAAGGTCATCACTTGTTTTTAAATTAAATTCTGCGTTTCGAGGCCTTATAAAAACCTCATTCAGCATCACCTCAATTTGCGTGCACAGTCCGGGTGCGTAGCCAGAAAGTCTATATGTGAAAATCTGTGAAAAAAATGATAAAATTTGGCTTTAAAATGAATTAAGTTGACTTCGGTTAACATTTTAGGTAAACGGACCCGGACCCGTGATTTGATGGTCCCGGAGAGTCCGTAGGAAAATATGGGACTTGGGCGTATGCCCGGAATCGAATTCTGAGGTCCCAAGCCCGAGAAATAAATTTTTAAAAGAAATTATTTTCTTAAAAATATAAAGGTTTTTGAAAGTGAAATGTTATGTGAAATCTGTGGTATCGAGCCCGTATTATAGTTCCGGAGCCCGGTGCAGGTTCAATGTGATTTATATGTGTTGTCGGTAAAGTTTGGTAAGAAACGGGATCCATTTGACGTGATTCGGACCTTAAATGCAAAATTTGATGTTTAAAGAAGTTTTGAGAAATTTTATTGATTTTGAGGTTTAATTCGTTATTTAAGAGGTTATTTTGGCGATTTGATCGCACGGGTAATTTCATATGATGTTTTTGAGTTAGTACGTATGTTTGGCTTGGAGTCCCGAGGGCTCGGGTGAGTTTCGGAAGGTTTTGAACTCATAAAAAGTTGCAGGTTTTTTAGTTTCTGGTGTTCTGGCATTTTTTTCTTCGCGTTCGCCGGAGGACCCTCGCGAACGCGATGAGTTATTCATGCTGAAGGAAATTTCCTTCTACGCGAACGCGAGACCCAGGCCGCGAACGCGAAGCTTTAGGGGGTCTTCCCTTAGCGAACGCGGGCCTGGTATCGCGAACGCGAAGGCTTATGAGCCTGGGCAGGGGGAGGGGTATTATACCCTACGCAAACGCGACCACCTGGACGCGAACGCGAAGGCTCGAGGGGTTAGTGCTCCGCGAACGCGAGCCCATTTTCGCGAACGTGAAGGTCACTCAGGCTCAATTCATCGTGAACGCGTAGACCAAAAATCCGCCCAGTTATTTTAAGTTCAAAAAACAGAATGTATTATGGGAATTCCACCATTTTTCATAAACTTCATCTTCTCCACACCTCTTGGGCGATTATTGAAGAGGAACTTCACCATAGCTTCATAGGTATGTAATCCTAAACTCATTTTCTTCCATTTTTATCAACACCCACTAGATTTCTTGGCCTAAAACATGAGATTAAGGATAGAAAATTAGGGATTTGGGTAGAGTTAGGGCTTTTTGATTATTTGGGAATTTGACCTCGTTTTGGGGTCGAATTTCAAAACAAATTGTATATTCGGGCTCGTGGGTGAATGGGTGATCGGGTTTTGGTCCGAACCTCGTGTTTTGACCAAGTGGGCCCGGGGTCAATTTTTGACTTTTTGGGAAGAATGATGGGAAAGCTATAATTAAGCATTGGAATTGAATTGTTTAGCGTTTATTGATGTTATTAAGTCGATTATGTCTAGATACAATTGATTTGGAGCCAAATTCAAAAGGAAAAGCGGTGTTTGAGGTTTGAGTTGGTCGTGGAAGTTCGAGGTAAGTGTTCGGTCTAACCTTAGCTTGAGGGAGTAGGAGTTGTATCCTATTTGCTATTTGCTTCTTGTTGAGTACAACGTATAGGCATGGTGACGAGTATCTATACGTTGGTGTGAAGCATGACCGTGAGTCTTAAATTGTGAATTATTGTGTTCTTAAGTAATACTACGGATGCTTAAATTGATGATTCTCGGTATTGAGCAAAGATTTAGATTGTTCTCGTGGAAATTACTTATGATTGAGTATTGGTGTTAGCTGAGGTAGCTAGATGTTGGAACAAGATTGGTTATAGCTGTTTCTCCCTTGCCGGGACGTATTTGCTTATACTGTCGATTCCCATGCCGGGATAGTGTAGTCCTTATTGATCCCTTGCCGGGACTCTTGTTATGATTGTTGTTGATTGTATATTTGGATCGAGTTGCGTGCCGCAACATTGTTATATTTGGATCGGGTTGCACGCCGCAACAATAATATAAATGAATCGGGTTGCACGCCGTAATATAAATGGATCGGGTTGCACGACGCAACAATAATATAAATGGATCGGGTTGCACGCCGCAACAATAATATAAATGGATCGGGTTGCACGCCGCAGCAATGATATAAATGAATCGGGTTGCACGCCGCAATTGTAATATAAATGGATCGGGTTGCACGCCGTAACAGTGATATAAATGGATCGGGTTGCACCCCGCAACAACGATACAGTTGGATCGGGTTGCACGCCGCAACAGTGTTAAATGATAGGGATCGGGTTGCGCGCCGCAACAATGTTATTATTGGTTGTTGTAGATCTAAAATTGTTCTCTTATATTTCTCTTAAATTACTGTTGGAGTTGATATTTTCCTCGCAGCATGTACTCCCTCCCATATTTATTTATTTATTTCTGTTTTATTTTCCGCTGCATATTATATAACTGCACAGGTTTTTCTGGAGTCTGGTCCTAACCTCGTCACTACTTCGCCGGGGTTAGGCCAGGCACTTACCAGCACATGGGGTCGGTTATACTGATGCTACACTCTGCACTCTGTGCAGATCTCGCAGCAGGTTTTGGGCAGTAGCACTTGGGGAGGCTGCCTTCAGTCCAGCTAGAGATCCCGAGGTAGTCCTGCAGGCGTTCGCAGGCGCGGCGTTCTCTTCTATCTTATTATGTACTTTATTTTCATTTGATTTCGAGACAGATTGTATTTCTTTCTGACATTGGTTGTAGTAATCATAGTTCGTCCGTGATATTGTGACACCAGATTCCGGGTAGAGACGTATGTTGGCAGTGTCGTACTGGTTTTAGTTATTCTATCAGATTAAGTCTTTCGCTTGATTTTCATTTATCGTTAATATTTCAATGCTGATTATCTGTTAATTTAAATGGTTAAAAAGGGTTAAAATAGAAGAGTTAGTGATTTCTATACTTCGCGGCTTGCCTAGTTTCTACGAGTAGGCGCCATCATGACTCCCGAGGGTGGGAAATCCGGGTCGTGACAAGTTGGTATCAGAGCTCTAGGTTACATAGGTCTCACAATTCACGGACAAGCTTGGTAGAGTCTAAGGGATCGGTACGGAGACGTCTGTATTTATCCCCCAGAGGCTACAGAGTTAGGAAAAACTTCACATCTATTCATTCCTTATTGTGCGATATTGGTTTAGCTCGAAGCATGTAACTTATATCCCTTTACATCCACTCGTGTGTAATATTACGCTCTCGGTGTCCGCTATGTGCTAGTGGTTCGTGATGCTGCAGACAGGCTACGATGGAGTCAGGGATGCTCAGACATTTTCTCAACGTGTTGTCCAGACTGGAGATATGGAGGTATTGAGAGACTATTCAGTTGTTTATATGGAGGCGCGGTAGAAGCGTGGTGGGTGTTGATTGAGGATAGTTGGCGGTATTGGAGTACCTTGTGATTTGTGTTGTACGAGCTATGAAGGTTAGCTCTGCGGATCATCAGACGTTGTTTTCTATGGCTTCGCGCCAAGTGGAGGAGTCCATCAGCGGTATTCAGATTGCATAGTCAGACTTGCGTCGGCCTGAGGTATATGTATGTGTGGTGTTGGTAGGTTCCCGGAATTTGTATATGACTAAGGTCTGAGATCTTGCACAGGATGTTGTTGGGACTTTGATTGGGATTATTGCATATCGGCTATCCGAAGATATGGGTCAGCTCTGTGGTGTTGGGTCAACAGAGCGACGAAGTGATTGGTCCTTTGAATAGGAATTCTCTACTGGTATTTGTGGGAGCACTCTTGGATTGAACGGTTTGTGTGACTTGGTTTAGTTGG